TTAGGTGGGTTTTGTCCATTAGGTTGCAAATAGTCTCCCAGCAAAGAGGAAACAAGATCTGCACCATGTTCCATCAGTTGCCACCTGCCCATAGAGGAAAAAACCCCAAACCCAGAAAAAAGACATTTTTCCATCCTTTCATGGTGGACAGCACTCAGTGATGGAGCAGGTGATGGAACAGAGGTAGCACATCACAGGCAGTCAGGGTAGCACAACAGGTGTATCCCGAATATGCTGCAAACCAAACAAAAATTATCTGTTATCTAATAGACTCAAATAAAACCATCTCTCTACCACACTCGTACATCCAAGCAGGCACTGCATATTTTATTTTCCAACAGTATAACCCTGAGAGAGGAGGGGCAATTAAAGTCACCAGGGAGGAAGGTGAGCAAGAGGTAACTGCTGTTCTTTCAGCATCCCGGCACCAGTTCTGGAGACCAGAGACTCCAGTTTTTCCTGCACTATTAATGGCATGAGTTGTGTTTCCAAGCAGTACTGGCAGCTCATCTTTTAATCCAGGTAACTCATGTCCCCACCACAATATCACCACATGTGGGTATTCCTACCCAGCACATGTGCAGCTGAGTCCACTAAGCAGCAAAAGGACCACCAAGGAAATGTCCTTCTCTCAGCAAGACATTGACCCAGGGACTTCTTGGGTGACCAGTGGTGCTGTGTCAGTGATGGTCCCCATGAGGATAAGGATGTTCTTGGTGAACTCAGAACACCTGCAGAACCAGCACAATGGGGTGTCCCAATGCCAGTCTCAGCAGGCAGACACGATGCACGGACCTCACCACGTCCTGCAAGGCAACACACATTGTTAAGGTTAACGAACAGGGCAACCTGTTTTGTGAAACACATTGGCACACCTGAATTTTTAATTTTAATTCCCTGCCCTGAAATACAGTCACTGGGTATCTATTTTAAAAGCATGAGAAAAGAAACACCCACTAGGAATTCATATACTTGTCCACATGAGGCAAGACGTGAGTGACGTGAGCAGGACGAGACTCCACAGATATCAAGGGGAAAATAATACATTCCTCAATAAAGCTTCTCTAACATTTAAAATTCACGCATTCAGAAAGATGGTTTCTGGTCTGGAGTCCCACAAATTACAGTGGAGATACATGACAACTAAAAATTAATTTATCATCCCTGTCACACTGTGGAACTCCTGCTGAAACCCAGAGCATCCCACAAGCAGGAGCAACCTCCTCTCCACCATCCTGACACATGCCCAAGAATCTCCAGTCTCCCAGAATAAACTACCCCAGGCAGAGCTGGAAAACTTTTGCTTCCTTGACAGCACTTCCCCAGCTCTGCTACCCTTCTCTGGACACCCTCCAGCATCTCAATGTCTTTCTTGTAGTGAGGGACCCAAAACTGAACACAATTTGAGGTGCAGCCTCCACACCTTTGGATGAGATTCAAGTTATGCTTCCTCAGGGAGGATAAATAAGTGTGTACTGCTGACTGTTGTTTCTTAAATCACTTGAGTTAATAGGCAAGAAATGCATTAAGATTAAAAAAAAAGAAAAAAAAATTAGAAGTTCTGGAAGAGAGGAGTGACCTAGAAAATCTAATTGTCCTCTGAACAGCAATTGCCCTAAGTTTGGAAGCTAAGTTTACTAATTAAGCTGAAACAGTAGATTTTAGTGGTGCTTACAGTGCTAATTTCAACTCCTCTTTAAACCATGAGTCTCCAGCAAGTCTCTCAGCAATAACAGTAAAATGTTTTGCATAGGAATGCCTTACTGAGGGTCTGCAAAGCACCTCAGCTCTTCCTGAAGAGCTTCTTCCAGAAGCTTCTCCTCCTTCCAGCTGCAAACAGCCAGCCATCGTCCAAAGGCTTTCAAGACCAGTTCCTCCAGGCTAAAAGCCCGTTCCTGACTTTTGCCAGCAGCAGACGATTTGTGGGAAAGGGAAAACCTTCATCTCTCCCTTTCCATGCATTCTCACAGTCCTTAACCACTCACTGACTTCAATCTGAAAGCATAAGGGTCCCTATTCCTTCCAAACACTTCAGTGTTCTGGGTACCTCAATCATTTCCCCCAAATTTAACTGTGTAGCAGAGAATATCTGTCATTAAAATCACCAGTCTTAGTGTCTCCGTGTGCTAGTAGACAGGAAAAAAGGTAAAATGCAGGTATAACCTTGGATTCCAAAACATTAGCAACGTGTGGAGCAGCAAAGAGACAAAGCATCACTTTCTGACCAAGGTATTTTCAGAGAATCACAGTCCACACAGCCCATGGAAAAAGATTATCCATATCACTGCATCTCTGGGGACCAACAGCACAGACAGACCATAGGACAAATTCCTGCAAAAGGAATCCGATGTTATGTAGGAAAATAACACAGGAACAGCATCAGTTGGGTCAGTGTATATTAAATAATGAGGTCCCCGGTAATTAAACCCACCCAGACACACATCCTAACCCAACTTGGAGAGGCAGGGACAGCAACAGAATGGAGTGTCACAGCTCTGGATTCCCACCCTATTTCAGGGTCACCCGTGTCTGTCCTTAGGACACAAGCAGCACATGCAGTGATGGTTTTGGGGGGACCGTGTAAACTTTCCTCATCGCTTGCACATCACCCAGTCATGGAATCCCAGAATGGTCTGAGTTGGAAGCTTAAATCTCATCCAGTCTCACCCCCTGCCACAGCCAGGGACACCTTCCACTAGCCCACGTTGCTCCAACCTGGCCTTGGACACTTCCAGGGATGGGGCAGCCACAGCTTCTCTGGGCAGCCTGTGCCAGGGCTTCACCATCCTCACAGCCAAGGATTTCTTCAGTATCCCACCTAACCCTGCCCTCTGGCAGTGGGAAGCCATTCCCCCTTGTCCTGGCACTCCAGGCCCCTTCAATGAGTTTTATTCCCTTCCAGCTTCAGTGGGACAGGTGTTACAGAAGATGCCAATCTCACACTCAGGCTGGCTGGGAACTGCTCTACAAACACAGCTACAGCCACAACAGCCTCATGTCTTCTTTCTACTCCATTGACCCAACCAACCTTGGTCATATCTCAAATACAGGACAGCTCTATCACCCAACACGATGACAAGTAATTTTGAGCGCTCTGTCCAAAGAAACCCTGTTGGGCTTGGAGCATGATCCCACTAAACCTGATAAAACACACAGCTGGATGGTCGCTAAGTGTTTGCTCTTATTTACATCCATTCAAAGAAAAAAGAAACATCCTCACTAAAACCTACATTTTATGCAGCAAAACCCTCAGTAAGAGATTCAGCACTGCAAAGGTAACTCCAGGGCAGGAAAAACAACCAGTAAAAAGTAACATTACTGATCAAAGGGGAAAGAGATGGTTTTTGCCTTTCTTTTCAATCAAAGCTCAGTACATCAGGTTGTGACCTCTGCACGAAGCTTCCCGTTAATGGCAGCCAGTCTATAACAACTTGACACAGTGACCCTACTTCTGGGCCCAGGAGGATTATTAACAATCAGAGCATATCACAAGCTCTCACTCTGGTACAGGAGATCAACATCAGCCCCAGTTAAAGACAACCAGATCCTGGAGAAACCAGTGCTCAGAGGGCCAGTTTGCTTTAGAATCCCAAATAACTGTCATGTCTGTGTGGGTGCCAAATGTGGGAGCCCAAAATGCTGCACTCACCTTGGTTTCTTTGCTCCTCAAGGTTCTTTTGTGGACAGCTGCCAGCAACAGAAAGCATTCATCTCCTTCCAGCCCTGCTCCAAAAGGAGAAAATACAAAAATAAAATACAAGAAATAAAATAAAATACAAAAATAAAATAAAATAAAATATGCCATGCTTACTCTTCCAAGGAGCTCCCATGGGGCTGGGACTTGCAATCACCTTGAGCCAAGAAGGATGTTTCTGACCATCCCAAACTTGCTTGAGTTTTTGGAGCAGTGCAGCTCAGCAGGGACGTGTCCAGACTAAACAGGCTCCTGCACTCCTTAGAGGAGGACAGTAAAAGTGTTGAGGGATAGTAAAAACAATGCTGTTTGTGCTGCCTCGTTCACCCAGCCCAGCCCTCAGCCAAGCATGTGGCACAAACATTTTAGATGCTGATGATGAACTTTTTGATGATGATTAGTGATGTTCCCTCACTAATCCTCCTTAATGACATCTTTGAAATTTGGTTTTGATCTTGGTGACGGGAAGCACCTCCCCACACTGTTCTGCTGCAAACCAAAGGAGACACCAACAGCAAACCAGGCACCCAGAACTGAAGGGTTTTTTGGAAGTGACCAGCTCCAGGAAGGGAATAAAGCTGTTGGAGAAAAGCTGAGATCACTGCAGGGGTCTCACTTACCAAGACTATCCATATGCCCAACCCCTACCAGCTGAAGCCACGATCTTGCTTTAAGGGTCTCTCTCCAAGCTGGGCCCTGCCCAGCAAACACCCTGTCTCCCAGACACACCAAAATCCATGCCAAACCTCCTTCCTCACCTATCTAACTCTGCTAAACACAAGCAGGAGAGCAGCTGCCTGCCAGTGCACACAGGGCACCTCCATCCTTTCCATCCACTGCCACCCCCCAGGCAGATGAGTCCATGTTAAACTCCACACAGTCCCATCCCTCCAATATTTCATCCACCCCCAAACCATTCTGAAGCCAACGCTGCCTTAGCCGTGCCTTCGGCCTCGAGGCATTGTATTCAAGAGATCCATCAAGATGGTGTGTTGAAGTACTTTATTGGATACTCTGCACATTAAGCTTTGTACAAAAACCTCTCCATTAACACCAGAGTGAGCGACAGCCACCAGGAGCTTTGAACACTGGCTCAGCTCCCTTCTGAAGAAGCAGAAGTGAAAGTAATGTTAAAAAAATAGCCAGATTGGCCACACCAAGTTGGACCCCACCAGCAAACCAGCCCTGCAGTCTGAGCTGCAGCAGTGAGGATTAAAACCTCCATCCCAGACAAGTCTGGTTTGCTCTTGTGACCAAAGGGATGCACAGAAAAGGCTTCACAACTCCTGCTGTGCTCTGCCTCGGGGTCCTGCCTCCCACTTCCGATGCTCCTCCATCAAGTGCCACTGTAGTTTATCAAGACTAATTAAAAACCTCATCTCAAGAGCTCAAAGCCAGCATGGAAGAAATTTTCATGCCTGCCAGGGCCTCATTTGTCATCCGAGCTGCTCTCGGGCAGCAGGGCACTGCGGGAGCCCTTGGTGCCTCTGCGCAGGCACAAACCACAGTCCAGCTCCACGTCGATGTCCCCGAACTTCAGCTGGCAGGACTCGTTGCAGCTGCAGGAGAGACAGTGACAGCGGTCAGGTGTTTGTGAGCGGCAGGAACCGTCCTTGGAAGGCTGCTAAGGACTGTCTGCCTGCGGTGGTAGCCAGCTTATCCTTCCCGGCCGAGCCACACTTGGACACTCATGGACACCCACTTTTCTCATCCCATGACACACACCAGTGATGGATTTCCCAGCCTAGCATGGGGTCTAGGGATTGCTCCTGGCCCCCCAGCTCCTGCACTGCTCCAGGCCCCCCAGGCCCCTCTCCACCACGTACCAGCGGGATGCAGCCGCGTTGGTGCCCACGACGGCGAGAGCGCCCAGGTAGTGCCAGCAGAAGCACATGGTGAGGAAGGTCAGGTTGCTGGGATCGCTCTGATCCCAGCCTGGTCCTCCCCAGGGAGGGGACAGCACAAACCCAATCTGGTCATAGACAAAAGAGATGTCAGGCTTTAGCACATCCCTCCTCTTTTCCTCCTGATTTTAGCCAAGCTGTTGCAGCTGACTATGAGCACAATTAACCCCAAGTAACACCTGGAGCATGGCCCTCGGCACCCCCAGGCACCCTTGTCTCTCCAGACTGACATAGGGGTGGGTTTCAGGAGGAGATGGATTCTCTGCAGACAATCCTTAGGGTTTGCAGGGCAGCCCAGCATGCCCAGAGAAAGACGATATCCCAAAGGTGACATTGCCAGGCTGTGCATTTCCCCCTAGGCCCAAAGCTGGCTGATTACATGAGAGACTTCCAGATATTTCCAGTTACATGGAACAAGCAGAGGAAGAAAACGGACCTAATGAAATGAATAAAAACTCTTGATTTTGGTTTCCATCTCTTTTGGGCTCCGATTTCCATTTTCCAGCCATTTCCAGGTCTGTCCACACTGCCTATATTAGACATGCACTTCTCCACAATGACAGCTCTGGCACCAAACCTCATTTCCTCTTCTTATTTACCATGATACACCAACCAGCCTACATGTTTAACCCCAACAGATGTGCCATAAGGGGCAGAGCAGCCCTGCTCCGCTCATCTTCCTGGGTGCAAAGCTCAGAGAACAATGAATACACGTGGACCTGCCAAAGCCAAGAGCCCTGCAGAAGGAAGGAGCTGGTCCTGAAGGTCTCTAGGATGATGTGGTCTCGGAGGAACACCTCCAGGAGGGCACAGAGGGCTCCAGCAAAGATGGCCATGGCCAGCAGGGAGTGGAGGTGGTGATCCAGTGCAGCATCGCTGTAGTCACGGAAACAGAAGAGCAAACCTGCCAAGATCCACACTGTGTTAGCAAGGACACTCTGGGATCTGTTCTTTTTAAAAAACCATCTGAAAACAAACAACACTCTAGATTTTGCCATGATCTGCCTGGTGGGAAGAGCCAGACATCAACCAGGTTGCTGTCCCAACCTTCACCCTACCAACACCACACAGCCCTGGCACTTGGGTCTGTTCTGCCCCCCGAAGAGCCCCTATTCCTGCAGGGCCCCCTGTGCCCCAGCCAGAGCTGTAGGGCTGCCAGAAGGAACGCAGGGCTGGGGACCTTGAGCTCAGAAGATGGTGGGGAGCTTTGCATCAGAATTTGTCCCTCTGTGCATCCAATCAAGGCGGGGGGACAACACCTTTTTGTGACTCCAGAGAGAGCCAGCTGCTTGTCACCAGGAGCAGCACATCCCTCGAGCATCCCCTGTACACCTGGGCCACCCAGCTGGATGGAATCCTTCCTATGGTCGGGTTCACATTTAGGGAGGAACAGGGAGGGGGTGACTTCAGCACACAGCCAGTGCCATCACACCTCCACAAACCTTCCAGCTCTGCCTGCACGAAGCCTTGCTGGTCCCAGAACAGCCCAGGAGCTGTCACACATCTGTCACACATCCATGAGCCCCGTGGTGCATCCCTGTCCCGTGTCCTACCCTGCCCCAAGCACCAGGTGGGGCTCACCTTCGATGAGCAGAGCCACGGACAGCGAGAGCCGGTCCAGGCCGGGCGGCAGCTTGAGCCGGGACTGCGAGACCATGTCCATGATTCCAGAGAGGAGGAAGAAAAGGTAGATGGTGGAGTAGTGCCAGTGGGTGAGGTCTGTCCAGCTGTGCGTCTTTGGGCTGTACAGCTGCAGGTGGGGACCGGTGGGGACAAACTGCTCTACCAGGATCCCTGGACAGAGAGGGGAAAGGTCACCCTTGTCTTTTCACACAGAGGAAAGGACAAGGCTGCAGGAGAACTTCCCTTGCAGGGCTGAAGCCCAGAGGAAAACATCACAGTGTGCCACCAGCACATCCCCAAGCCCTCCCACACCAGCTGCAGATGTTTCCCATTACAAACAGCCCCAGTCTTATGGGACAAAGCAGTTGCAGCATCATTAGATATTGGGGCAGAGACTCATCATCATCTCTTACCTACTAGAGCAAAGAGAGCTTTGAGAGCCCCCTCAAAGATCTCTGCACGCTGGGTCCCAGAGCTTGGCTGGCCCTCAGCATCACCTTTCTTCCTCAGGTACTTCAGGGGGTACCTCACGGACCACCAGAGACCAAAGGTGAAGAAGAAAGTGCCCCGGAGGGCACTGCCGAGGAAACTCGTTGGCATCGGGCTTGTGTTCTGGACCTGCAGGGACAAACAGTGCCTGGGGACTGACCCAAGGGAGATGTTGGACTGCTCCCTTGCTCAGCATCCTCAGGGATCCACATCCCAACAAAGAGGGTGTACGTGGCTCTGCCATCAGCTGTGAACAAGGTGGGACATCACGCGGGGAAGCTGCCACTCTGCCCCACTGTGCACACGTGTGTGCATAGATGTGGCTGCACACATAAAGTCATCAGGACTTAGTGCCAGAGAACAATGTATAATATAGCACCCAAAAAAGCGTAACACCCGAGAAAACATAACAAAGTTTTTCCTAATAAAAAGCAACATGACAATTATTTCCTTAGACCATAAACTCCCTCCAAACTAGGCAATTACCAGGGTGTGAATCCAGCCCTGGATTCAGGAGCTCCAGCCAGCCAAGGCTTTGGCAGGAGGAAGCAACCCAGGAACCATTAACATTTCCAAAAGGAGCCTCATGTATATTCCATATAACCTTTGTTTGACACAAGGGAAGAGATTTCATCTCCAGAGGAAGAGATCCAAGACTAAAAGTCTTGACATTAAGTGGGATCAATGCCACTGAGCACCATGCAGGATGGAGAGGAGCAAAGGTACAGCAAATTTATAGCCTGCAAAGTATTTAAGCCCATACCCAAATTCCTAGAAAAAAATCCCAGTGCAGCAAGTGCAGAGGGAATAAATAATGATATAAGTGCTTAGAGCAGTAAGCCTTTGATATTACCTTGGGGTGGTCTTGTCCCTTCCAGTAAGACCTCTCTCCTTGCCCTCTGTAAGCTTCTACCACCTAAGGAGGACTCACTTTTCCCCTCCACGTGGTTTTCCGGTCCTTTTCTACAGCTGGGATGCGCAGAGAGGAAGGCATTACTCATCCCAAAGCTCCCACACCGACCTGCCCTTGCATCACAAATCACATCCTCACCGTGTTTATAAATACCAGAGCAAATTGCAGAGGCTGGATGAACAACTCCAGCACGTTTGCCAAGTCCTCCCACACTAGAAAGTAATTAGGCACTGCAAAAGGAGGGTAGGATGTGGCAAGTGCCTGGGGGGAGGGAGAGCTCTGCAAGACATCCCTGGTCGGGGCTGCAGCGCCCAAGTTGGTTGGACTGGCTCAGCACTGAGTAGCAACCGTGGGTTTGGATGTGGAAACCATCATCATCCATTGCATCTGTGGGACACAGACAATCCAGGGAAGGCTCAAAACTGTGTTAAGGTTTCCTTCCAGGAGGGAAGTTACTAAACAGTCTTTCAGGGAGGTGAGAAACGCCCCGTCCAGGAGCTGGTTTGAGGACCAGGGATGGCTCTCTGCTCTATTTTGGGTGCCCACATTAGGGTGAGGTGGCCCATGCCCCAGGAGAACCCAGGTCTTTCCTGATTATAGCCTGGACACCCAATCCAGGGCACTTATCTTCCCTGCACAGACATCTACATGCCAGAGTGACTAACAACAAATGCAATTAAAGCCCATTTAGGCAGCACACAATTGCACGATATATAACCAAATTTTACCATTGTCCTGTTGTGACTGCCAGGGCAACAGCCTGGGGCTGGAGTCAGGAGCATACCCTGATCCAGAGACGTCAGGAACGTTAATGTGACATGATTAACTGGAGGAGAGGAGAGCAGAGACATCGCAGAGCCCAGAAATGACAAATGACATGTCCCCCCTGCAGCTCCAGAGGGTGCTCCAAAGTCACAGCAGCATCCAGCATTAACCCAGAGATCCATCGCCCCACATCCACCAACCATCCCCCCTTCATCTGAGTGACCAGCAGACCCAACCCACTGTTCCAGAGCTGTCCCTGGGATCTCTTACCCTGACCATCCCACTCCCCAGCAGAGCAGCCTCGCTCTACAGGGCCAGGGACCCTTTTGCTTTGAAACCTCTCAGCAGCTCAATCCAGCAAGGCTTTGGGGAGCTGCCATGAGTCCCCTTTGCTTCCCAGGACCTGGACACAGCACAGAATCATTGAATGGTTTGGGTTGGAAGTGATCTTAAAGGTCTCGTAATCCCACCCCCTGCCATGGGCAGGGACACCTTTCACTAGACCAGGTTGCTCCAAGCCCCATCCAATGTGGCCTTGGACACTTCCAGGGATCCTGGCATGTCCTGGGACATCTCTCCCTTAGCAGGGATATCCCAAACCCACCCTTAGTCAAGCAGAAATGTGCATGTAACCCACTCAAAAAACCCCCACCTTCTTTTATAAAACAACCACTCTTTTGCAGTGAAACCAGACATGTTTCCAAGCAACAGTCCATTTGCACAGCTCATATACTTGAAGCACAGGAAACATCCACAGAGCCCCTCAACCAGCCCAGCGAGTCCAGCCCTTACACCCCTCACCCCCAGCTGCCCCCACCCCGGCACTGAGCCCACACTCACATAAAAGCTGATTAAGCTTCCAGTGAGCAGAGCCAGGGAAGAGCAGAGACACAGTGTTATTTATTCCTCCTGTGAGCTGGTTTGTCTGTCAGAGCCCCTGAAATATGGCTGCAGTCAGAAGTTATTACCTGAGCTGCCCTTCTCCCCCCACAGCTCCCAGGCTGTGCTGCTCTGCTTTAACATCCATATGGGAGCTGCCTGCTCTGCTTAGGAAGCCTTTCCTGACTGCTCCCAGCCTGCCCAGGTTCAGCTCAGGAGAGACAGCATTCCTGCCCAACTTCCAGGCTCTCCCCCGGAGCCATTGCAGCTCCAGATCCATCACTATTCATGATTTTGACCCCACTTGCCCCAGCTGATGAGGGGGGATCAATCCTCAGAGGGTGCCATCCCTGTGGATACACAAGCATTCCCTACAAGCGCCCCATCAGCATCCCAGAATAGCCAACTTGTACACAGATGGCAAGACCAGCACCTGGCCATGGATGTTTGGAGGGTCTCCCTTATGTGGATCCTCCTCCATCCTTGGACACTTCCAGGGATGGGGCAGCCACAGCTTCTCTGGGCTATCTGGGCCAGGGTCTCACCACCCTCACAGCCAAGAATTCCATCCCAATATCCCATCTAACCCTGCCCTCTGCCAGTGGGAAGCCATTCCCCTTGTCCTGCCACTCCATCCCTTGTCCCAAACCCCTCTCCAGCTCTCCTGGAGCCCCTTTAGGCATTGGAAGGGCTCTAAGTTCTCCCTGGAGCCTTCTCTTCTCCAGGCTGAACAACCCCCATGATGTACCTCCAAAACACAGTGAGTTCCTAAAAAGGGGATAAAACCATATATTTCTGGCAGACTGCCTCCATCAGCACCATTCCACCACCATCATCACCCTGAACTTTGGTCTCCGAGAGATGGACTCTCCACACCTCCCTTCTTCCCAAGCTCCAGCAGCCACAACCATCCCATGACACAGCTGCTCACTGGTGTATGGGTGGAAGAGTTTACCTGTGACTCCTGCCTGTCCTTCTCCCTCTCCAGAAGTGTCAGCAAGGAGGTTATTACTCGGAAGAGGCAGATAAAGGGAGAAGCCAACACGGGGAGGTGGCCCTCAGACAGGATGTTTGGAGCTGAACATCCTGCAGGCCAGTTCAAAGCACGCTGAGTCAACCAGCTTTCCCAACCTGGGACACCTCCTGTCTGCTCTTAAAAAAACAACCAGCAACTCTTCTGCAGTTTGCAACAAAAATCAGGAGGAGCAGCCAATTCCTGTTCCCATGGCAACCATGTATATTCAGTTATTATGATGGGCTTTGGGACGACTGGGAAAAGAGCCAAGAAAAGATAAGGCTGCAATGTGGTCTGACAGGGCCAGGCCCTGCTGGAAGTCTCTGAACTGGGTTGCCAGGGACATGATAACCCTTTTAGGGGGTCCAACCATATAAAAGTTGCCTAAGGGCAGGAGATTTTCAGCCAGGAGCTCACAAACCAGAGCAGAACCTTTGTGAGCTCCACCTCCCAGCCCACAGCAGCCAAGAAGGGGACGATGGCTCTCTCCCCCCCAGAATATGGGTTGGCAGGACACAGCAGTCTGTTTTACTCCTTTTTACCTCTCTAAAACTCAACACTGCCCAACACCAAGCACCCACAGACACAAACCATCTCTGACTTGCCCATCCCACTGCCAAGGATTGCACAGAGGAGCAAAGCAAGTGCCTCAAGGCAGAGAAACCCCACGGGCCACCTCAGTGTTCCCATCTCCCTCCACAGCACTGAACTGATGGTGCAGAAACACTCAGCATTGCTCTGGAGCCCTGTTCAAGCCCCCAGCCACAGGCACTGAAAACCACTCAGCACATTCCCAACACAGGATTTCTCCTGTGGAATTGTGTGAGTGTTTCTCTCCCATAAAACCAACCCAAAGCCACCCCCAGCAAACCCACAGGACAAGCCGTGCCCAGCGCCACACACGGGAGCCCCAAGGCTGGAGCAGCACAGAAGCAAAGCAGCTGCACAACCCTCCCCAGGGTGATGGGCTGTGCTCCAGCACAGCCAGAAAAGCCACCAAGCCATAGCCAGGAGCTTTTATTCCCATTATCTTCATATCAAGTGGGAGGAAGGAAGGAAAACAAGAGGCTGGTGGTGGTGCTGGCACACAACCATGCCACACACCCATCACTGCTCATCTCCAACAGTGCCTGAGGAGCAGGATGTGTGACAGAGGGACGAACACACCTGAAAAAGGGTCCTGGACCAGTAGGGAAGCCCAGAGAAGCAAAGGGGCTTCCACAAATGCAGTTTCACCCAAGTTTAAGCTCCAGGAGCTTGTTATAACACTGAATCCAAGCACAGGGAGAAATACACCCCTCACAGGAGTTCTTCCTTACACACCTACCCCTGAAAACAATACAGAAAAAGAAACATACCTTTTTTGCTGGAAGAAACCCAGGAGCACCATCAGGGACCTCTTCCAGCTCAGTTTTCCTTTCTGCAACCACCCACCTCTACAAACTCCAAAGGGTAGCTTAGCACAAAGCCCTTTCCCAGGCAATAGGAGTCAAGTCCTTGGGGAAAGTGGGGAAAGGCAAGCAGGGAGGGCAGCAGCTGGAGAGTGAGGGGAGGAAACAAGGCCCAGATGAAAAGTACCTGCTCAGAGGATCAATGTGCCTTTTTCCATGGAATTTAAAGGGCCAGCAAAGAGTAAAGCTCTTAGAGAAAGTTTCTATGAAAAGGCAAACTCGAATTACAGACAGTGACAGATGTTTTTGGTGTGTTGAATGGTTGAGGAACGGGGGTTTCTACCCTTTTGACCATCCCCACAAGAAAAATGAGGGTGAAACTGTGAGAAGTGGTTGTGAACAGCCCTGTGAGGAGAGACCTGGAGAAAGGATGGCAACCCCCCCCAAATCCCAGAGTCGGTCACACACACCACATGTGCTAAAATCACTGTGGGCACAAACAGATGCAATTCCATTCCAGTTCCAGCACATGCCTGTCCCCATCTTCCTCCCAGGGAGAGACTGGGGGAGGCAGATCTGTGTCCCACACCCTCCGGCTTCTCTAATGTCCTCAAGCTAAACCTTGAATTGAATTTGATTTCATATTTTTGTGACCCTCTTTTCCTTTTTCTCTCTCAGCTGTAACTGCAACATCCTCTCCCTGAAGGTTCATCATCAGCCTTGGTGCTAATGAAAAATGTGATAATGTTTGCCTCCTTCCCGGGGGTGGCAGGAGGCACAATCTAATTAAAGGTTTGCCAGCAGCTCGAGTGCTGCAGATGGATGGTTGTTTGGGAAGTGCAAAGGATTATTATGATGATGATGATGATGACTGCTAACACCAGATTTCATAAACAGGCAACAGGGGAGGTGAAGCAGGTGGTAAAAGCATAGGTGGGACTTGTTCTGCTGCCCACACCTTGATCTCAGCCCTACATTAGTGTGGTGTGCAGGGAGATCCTATCTCTGCCCAAGGAATGAGTGGCTCGTGGATGGGCTGTGCTGGGCTCTTGATGAAGGGTTTGTCTTTCCCGTGGCAGGAAGAGCCAACTGCCAGGAAATTTGGCTGCTCTGAGGGGTGTTGTCTGTGCTCCTTTGTAAGAGAAGGGCCGGACTGGTGGGAGGATCAGCAGCTCCTTCCGGCCGTGGACGAGCAGGTCACTTGAGTGACAAAATTCAACATCAGTTATACAAGAGAGAAAACATCTCTGGGACATCCCACAGGGCATCCTGCTCCTTTTACAATCAGTGTGGCTATGGATACAAATGCATCCCCCAGCCCACTCCAGCTGCATGGCCAATGGGTCCAAAACAAAGACACTATAATTCAATTTATAGAATCATAGAATTATTTAGGTTTGAAAAAAACTCCAGGATCATCAAGTCCAACCTTCGAGTCCAGCCATCATATGCTGAAAAAAAACAACTAATTGATATTAAAGTCGTGCTAAAAGCAATTCTCCCCATAGGACTGTCCTAAAATATCTATAGGAAATAAATGCCAAGATGGCTTGTGGTTGCACCCCTCTGTATAATAAACCACCTCCAGACATCTTCATGCCTTTGGGGACCTAAATTATTTACAAACATGTTTTTTAGCTAAAATGAAAATCCTTAATTCTCACCCAGAAATGAACCCCAATTGTAGTTCCTTCCTTAATCACAGGATCTCTCCTAATTCACTGACCTTCATACCTTGGGAAAGAATGTGCTCCAGAGCTGGAAAACAAATTAGTGAGTGCTCTGCTGACAGTCCTGGGATGTTTGTAGAAGCAGGGAGTTAATGAGGCAGACAGAAACTATTCCAGACACTGGGTGCTGCAGAGGGAAAAGGTGTTTTGTGGCCACATAGTGACAAGGGCCAAGGATTGAGAGCAGCAAAGAGAGTTGTGAAGAATTAAATAAACCCTCTCCCACTTTCAAAAGCAAGGAGTGCTTTCAAAAACCAAAGCCAGCTTTCATCTGTGTGCCCCGGGATGGAAAAAAACTCTGGATTTTGGACGTGGGGTGGCTGCAAGGTGACTGCAACCAGCCTGGAGTATGCTCCTGGTGCCACCTGCTACTGCCCTCCTCTGGCTATTTACTGGGAATAGTGATGCTTGGGCTGGTTCCTGAAAGAAAATAATTTGGAGGAGAGCAGAAATAATTCAGGGGCCTTTTTGCTGGTCAATGAACTGATCTCTGTCCTGCAGCACTGCAGTGACTTGGTTTGTCACCTTCCACCTGCCAATAGGAGGTGGCACCTGAAAAATGGGTTGTGTCTCATTGCAGCAGCAAGAGGAATTCTTGAGATTTAGAAAAGCTATTCGGCTTTGGCAGAAAAAGAAACATCTGCAAAATGCTCCTTGTGTTCAGCAGTTACAACTGAGATTTTATTGTGGTGTTTATCAGATGGATTTAGGGAGATGCAGCTCTGCTGCTTCACTCTCCTCACTCCGAGTCTGCACCTTCCAGTATCCAGCCCTGCACAATAAACTGGCTCAGCAGTGGGAATACAGGAAAGTTGGTATTCAAGGAAAGTTTGTTAGTCTTTATAGCACTGTTAGCAGCATTAATATCCAGGCTGTAGCTCTGGTGTCTGCAACAGGCTCTTTGCACATGGGGGATGGGGGTTAAAAGATGCCTTCCCTTGGACTTGCCAGGAGCTGCTTTTCTGTTCAGTCATGAACACAAGCACAAAAATCAGCTGCCATCCATCTCCCTCATTTCACAGCAGGGAGAAAACCTCAGTGCAGAGCATCCTTCCTGCCCCAGACATTGAGACATGAACAGTTGCAATTCACCTCATGCTATAAACATAAATATATATATGTATATATTTATTATATTTACTGGTTTTAATCCTCATACTTGCTACTGGCATATTTTCCTCCTGAATAGGAGGTGACATTTCCAGTTACTTTTTGCAAGAAATTAGCTGGCAAAGGTAGCCTAAAAACAAACCCTGTGCCTGTTTCATCTCCTTTCCAAGCTGAGGGGGTTTATTTTCAATGGAAAACTGGGACGTTTCATGACTCCCTGCTGCTTAACCGTGTATGTTACAGTCCTCCAGGCTTTGCAGGTCTGAGGGATGGATTTGTCTAAGCTATTATTACACAGTCTATAATTTATCAGCCTTAAATTTAAGGATATCAGCTCAGTGAGGATTTTTATTTCCCATTTATTCACTCTCTCAGCCTTTAAGTGAACATGAAAACGATTAACAAAACCCCTCTTTAGTTCAAAGCTGCAGTGATAACATTCGTATTGTGTACAATCAAGCCCTGCTGGTGCACAAATTGCCATAACCTCACATTCCACACTCTTTTTCTCATCCTCTTCGGGGTGGTGCCTTGCTCCAGAGGTACCTGACCTCAGCCTGGAGGTTTCCTTGACTTCAATCACAGCAGGTCAAAGTCTCCAGACTCTTGGAAAAGTCAGCTGGCCAAAGGATGCCCTCCATCCCTATGGAAACACACCTGGCAACCCATGGGATGAAGTAATCTTGTCATGTTGAATTTTCATGCCTCATTTTGTTGTTGAAAATCACTTAAAATGGTGCTTGCCCCTGAGCTGGCAATATCTGGGTACGGATGGAGGGCTCCTGCCCTCACAGGCTCAACCTGCTGCCCCACAGCACAACAGTGGCTCCTCTCACTCCTCCAAAACAGAAATATTTCATTAGGATTTTTTTCTTCTAGAAAACAGATTGTTCATGTATTTGGAGAAGAAGTTTGCAGCCTCTTCACTCTTCATCAGAGCCGCTCAGGAAGGTGGCCTGGGAGCTGGGGTCACCCTTCTGCTGCCGGACCCCCAGGCTGATGTAGGGTTCTCCACTGCTTCTCCTGAACCTCTGGAGGCACCTGTAGCACAGGAGCAATAAATCACTGATAGCAAAACCCTCAAACTAATGCCACTCACCAGAATTCTCATGTAGGGGTCCTGAAATGATGTTGATGGGGGACTGAGGGGGTTTTATTCTGTATAAAGTCTATTTGCTGCCTTAAACTGGACTATCCCTTCCGTAGCCCACACAACAGCCCTTAGAAAACCCCTTGAAGTGGGATAATGTCCCCTTCCCATCCCCTCGGAAAAGCCACACTGGGGGCTGGCACTGCTGAACCATCAGACAAGTGCTCTTGTCCCTCTGATGATTCACTGACGGCCAACTGCTTCAGAGTCCTTGCAAGAGAGGGGACAAAGTGTCAGGGGGACCTGGAAATGTTTTCATTTCTATATTGAATTAAAGTTTGACTTCAGCACTCAGTGCAGAGGGAAAAATGTAGTATGACTTCCAGGAGCAGCTCTGGGGGCTCCATTATTTGACTTCCTCCTGTTTAATACCTGTGCCTCCCACTGACACTCTTTTGCATTCTGTGCACTCAACAAATACTGTGTGTGCTTGTCACCCTGCCCTCAAACGTGCTGGAGTCTGAGGCTGCTTATTCAGCTGTGACTTTGTACTCTGGAAAGGGCTGGAGTACATCTGTGTCCCACTGCAGCCACCCCCATCCCTGCCCACCCCACTCCTGCCTCAGTTCCTGCCCAGCCATACCAGTAAGTGAGGGTGTAGTTTATAGTCAGGATGACCACAGCGGCTGCCCAGTGCCAGAAGAAGCACATGGTGAGGAACATGATGTTGTCATGGTCCTCCTCATCCCACATTGGACCCCCCCATGGCTGGAAGAGCACGACTCCGATCTGGGTGGAACAAGAAATTCATTAACTTGGGGAGAAAATCGTTAGAGAATCCCAGAATCCCAGACCGGTTTGGGTTGGAAGGGACTTTAGAGATCATCTCATTCCACCCCCTGCCATGGGCAGGGACACCTTCCACTCAGGTTGCCGGACACTTCCAGGGATGGGGCAGCCACAACCTCATACACCCTCACAGTGAATCACCTCGATCCCCGTGGTGACTGAGGGTCTGAGACAGTAAAGTCCAGCCTTGCAGAGAGGCCACACAAAGCCAGACTGTGCCCCAGATCTCTCTTTTTCTGTATGATATCCAGACACAACCGTCTCTGGGCATTGCAAACTCTGAGCCATCCTTTAAAACCCCCAAATTTAGTATTTTACAAACTCAGTCCAGTTTTTAACCTTTGAATAAAGGCTGGTTTGAGTTACTGGGGCAGAGAAAAGGGAGGGGAACTCAGATTATTTTCAGCAGCTTAGTTTTGGGAGCGATTATCTCCAATTGATTTCTTTGCTTCTCCAACTTCTCCCAAAGCGAGCAGCTGGCTGTATCTTAACTCAGCCATTTTATTGCTGGGGGCCTTTGCATCTTCCCACTAAACCAGAGGGAGGGTTGCAGGGTGCATTAGACACATTAAGCAATTAGTACTTGGTTGTTAGATACTGCAAAACATTGCTCGCTGGCTTTCGCTCTTCCCCCCAGAGAAGCGATAAGCCAAGACTAACAGCTCTTTCAGCAGGAGCAGCCAGCAGAGATGACCTGTGAGAAGTAAATTCTCAGTCTGGGTTATGAGCTATTTATGAAGCCAGCCTGGTAAAATTATCCCTCGGAGACGTGTGATTGGTATGTGATGTACAGCTCCTTCTCCTCTGTCCCCACTGTTCCCTCTGAGCAGGCACAACTGACCTGCCAGAACCACGTTCCCTGGACGATGGTGATGCCAGCTCTGAACATCTCCAGGACAATGTTGTCCCTGAGGAAAACCTCCAGCAGGGTGCTGCCAGCCCCAGTAAAGATGGCGATGAGCAGCAGGGAGTGGATATGCTGATCCAACATGGGCCGGTGGAGGACGTGGTAATAGAAGAGAAAACCTGTCAAAACACATGTCCTGCTTAGAGCAACAGCAGCAACACCAACTGTGGCCACAGAGCAGAGCAAATCAACTCCCTGGATGGTAAACTGAGACAGGTCACCATGTAAAGAAGGGACTCCACATGGCACCATTCCTCTGGGTCTCCTGGTATCCCACCATACTGGAGGGATGAGATGCCCAGCCTTAGGGCAGGAGGATCTGAGCAATACAGGAACCAAAGACAGGCTGGTTTTCTTCCCCCATCAGTGCCATTACCTTTCCCCTCATAACCAGGTTTCTGCTCTGTCCTACTTTCCTATTGCTAAACTTCACCGTTTCTTGGGAGTTGTAAATGATAAATTTCCTGTTATTACAAGCCAAACTTTGCCTGTTGAGGTGCCCCTGCTGCTGCCTCAAAAGCTGCTGTGATCATGAAGGGGAAAATAAGAGGAGATGTGCAGTATCTATATAAGCAAGACCTTCTTTTCCCATGGTGGGGGTTGGAACTAGATGATCTTTAATGTCCCTTCCAACCCAAGACTTCATATGATTCTGTGATCCAAGAGGGGTCTGGAATCATGGCTGGCAACTTGCAAGACAGCCAGAAGACAGAATGATATTCATGATGTGCTGTAGCCAGAATAAGTCACTTCAATTTGCCACGTGCCCTGCAAGCAGATGAGGCTGATGATGCCTGCAGAGCAATCCGTGGCTCTCGAGGGGAGCCCAGGGCAGGGGAACAGCTCTGAGCATGTCAGATGATGCAGCAGCCACCAGCCATTCATCATGAGGGAGCTCATTCTGCTGCTCCACACCATGGTCTCCCCAGAAATCCCAAACCAAAACCTACTGATGCCTGTATTTCCCATCTCATTCCAGACTGCCCTGCAATAATATATCACCTACAATGTGTAGGACCTCCAGAGGCATTCCAAGTAATATTCCAGTCAGGCAAGGCAAATTTTAGTCCTTCTCTGACTCTGTCTCACTTGGTGTGTTCAGCTGGAGAAGAGGAAACTGAGGGGAGACTTCATTGCACTTACATTTTCCTCGGGAGGGGTAGAGGAAGGACAGGCCCTGAGCTCTGCTCTGGGGGGACCAGGAACAGCACCCAGAGAATGGCTGGAGCTGTGCCAGGGCAGGCTCAGGTTGGATCTCAGGCAAAGGTTCTTCCCCCAGAGGCTGATTGGGCACTGCCCAGGCTCCCCAGGGCAGTGGGCACAGCCCCAAGGCTGCCAGAGCTCCAGGAGGGTTTGGATGATCCTCTGGGGTACAGGGTGGGACTCTTGGGGATGGGCCTGTGCAGGGCTGAGGTTGGACTGGATGGTCCTTGTGGGTCCCTTCCAACCCAGCATGTTTTGTGATTCTGTGATCCCTCCCCGAATTAAGCACCACCTTCTTCTACCAACCTTCGACAAACACGGCCACGGACAACATGAGGCGATCCAGGCCCCGTGGCACCACCTGGGAGATGTAGGTGAGGACATCCACCAGCCCGGAGAGGCCGTAGAACAGGTACATGGTGGTGTGCTGCCAGTTCATCAGCTTCACCCAGTCCCGGCCGGCCCCGCTGTACAGGTACAGGTGTGGCCCGTCTGGCACGAACTGCTCCGCCAGCATCCCTGCACAGACACACAGCAGCTGGGGGCCTGTGGGGAATGCTGCTTCATGCTACTCACTGCTGCTGGAGGCTTCTGAAGCAACAGCTTCAGGTTTGCATCAGGGAGAAAAGACTGCAGGAGAAACTCAGGCCTATTAACACAAGCTCAGCTTTGGGAAGGGGGAGAAGATTTGGTCTTTTCACATCAAACTCTACCAGAGATTAAGGCAACATGAACATCAAGGATGCATCCAGGCTGCCCAGGGAAGGGGTGGAATCACCATCCCTGGAAGTGTTCAAACACATGTAGATGTGGTGCTCAGGTTCATGGTTTAGTAGTGGACCTGGCTAATGGTTGGACTTGAGGATCTTAGAGATCTTTTTCAACCTTAATGATTCTCTGGTCCTTCCATATCTGAGCCAGTTTGTCTGGAGTCAGGGCTCCAGTGCAGTCATCGCTGCAGGCTGGGAATTTACCCACATGGCAAATGAAATGTAAGCCTTACCTATGAGAGCAAAGACAATTTTCATTCCCCCTTCCATGGCATCCACACGCTGGAAACTGTAACTCCTGTGGGATTTCCTATTCGCTTTCTGGCTGAGGTACTGCAGAGGGTATTTCACAGACCACCAGAGCCCAAAGAGCAGGAAGAAGCTGCCTGGAAGTGCGTGACCCTTGAAATTCGCCATCCTGACAACCTTCTCTGGCTACAAGGCACAGAAAAACAATGTCATTATTCAACTTACACCAGTTATTTGGCATAACACCGGGAAAAATAGGATTTCCCTTGCACAGAGGCCTGGAAAAGGCTTGACCTAGCACATAGGAATAGGTCGGAGAACTGGAAAACCCTCCAAGGGTGAGAGGTGGGAACAAATGGGACCTCTCTGAGGTCCTTGCCCCAAGATTAGAAAATGTCCAAAAACGCCAGACTAGTTTAGCAAAATCCCTAAATCTGCCACAATCTCTGACACATCCCAGCCTGTACCTTGCATTCCTGGGATCCCTCCCAGCAGCAGTTCCTGTTTTTCCTGCTCTTCTGCAAGAATGAGCAGACTAGGGAAGGGGGCTTTTTGGGACCAGGTAGGAGACATAATACACAGGGGAAGCAACAACGTCTAGGGGTAAGCGCCAGTGAGTTTCTTTAGCTACTTGAATAGCCACAGAAGTCCAAAATGTTTTAAAATTCCTGAAATTATTTCAGCCTATAGAGGGGGGAAATATACTCTGCATTTATTCCACAAACCAAAGCATTTTGTTAAAAATAGAGCTTCCCAAAAGCTGCTGGAAACAAAACACTGTGAGTTTGGGCAAACCAACCAACTCGCTCCCTGCATCCTGACCTCCTCACACTCTTCCCTCCCCAAGGCACCCCTAAGCCAGAATTTGCAGGGAGGATCCCAGCCAGGCTGCCCCTCCATGCCAGAGCACCCTCCCCCCCTCTCCCTCCCCCCCATTTGTGGGGAGCCAGGGGACCCATTTCCTGGGACAATTACACCAATTAGCCAGGCTGGCTCCTGTTTGCCATTTGCTGGTTTGCTTAATTAGGTGGAGAACTGATTAGTTCTTTCATGTGGGCTCCAGAGTATGTTCAGGGCCCGCCTGGGTGTGAGGGGGTGCCAGGCTGGGCAATTGGGATGGCTGGAATTGATAACAAAGGCTGTGCTGCTGGCGCCCAGGACGTCCTTCTCCAGTCAGTGACCTCCTCTCTGTGCTTAACACCAGGTGGAAAACATCCCCCTCGTGGGGTGGATGCTTTGGAGCTGGACCTGAGCTCCCCATCCCAGGCACCCACATCCCGATCATCCTTAAACCACCAGTGGCATTTTGGCCTTCAGTCTCCACTCGCTGGAAATATAAACCAAAAATGCTCTTCTGCTGTTGCACAAAGATAATTTGGGTTGAATATGGCTCACTGCTGTCAGCCTCGGAGCGGGAGAGCCGTTCCTTGGCCTTTATTAATGTCTGATTTCAGTCAGTTTGTCCCAGGGACACCTTGTTTCATCCCTTGAAGTCCATGGCTGATGCAGGTACCATCTCCCAGAGGTGTCTGTCCCCAGGCAGGAAAATCCCTGTAGCCAACCTGCCTGATCTGAGCTGGTTTAACCAAACAGCTCATCCAACACTTGGTGGGGAGCAAACATTGGCTCCTTGTGCAAACACCATCCCAGCACGTGCAGCTACACACGGCAGTGACGGGCTGATGCCCTCGTGGTCACACCAGGCTGGTCCCACAGTCCTGTCCTCACCAAATACCTCTGAGCTACCAGTGGGTTCAGGAAAATTAATTTAGGAGGGGACTTTCTAAGCTGTGCACAGAAATGGTGTTTTCTCCTGTACTCACTGGTAGCTTTGCGGGTTGTTGTGAGCAGCACTGCAAAGGCTCTGCCTTAATTCATGACTTCAAAGGAGAGATGTATTGACAGTGGGTACATCGGGTAATTGAACAGAAAATCAAAGCAGTGCTGGCATGGTCCAGTGGGTTAATATAATCATCCCTGTAGTCCTGTCAAACAGACAACCAGGGAATGGGAGCATCCACCTGGATCCCTGTGGTTAAGAGAGCAGCATTCCCAAGCCAGAGAGAGGGCTGGAAAATCTGTATTTTCTGGGTGAGCAGAGAGTCCCATCATGTACCTACAGTGAGGTAAAGGTTTTAAACTGAAAGAGGGGAAAGTTAGATCAGATACAAGGAGGAATGGTATAAAATCAGGGTAATGACTGGAAGCAGAACTAAATCCACCCCAGAATACCACAACGAGAACTACTGCAGCCATATTATGCCATGTTAATGGTATAATTATAAAAGGACCACAATAATGTGCAGGCAAACATATAACTCTATGAGGTAGCTCCAGCAGTTACATGTTAAAGGCAGATACACAGTGAGACCTTCTTTGATGAAGGATGTTTTTTTGGCCACAGTACCTCAGCTGCTGTCAGTCTGTAGGGCTGGGTTTGATGAGCTCCTGCAGGTGCAGATTTGGCATGAGGAGAGACCCAAACCCTCCCTGGAAGGCTGGAAACAGCTCCATAATTTCCAGGTTCATGTCAGTGTCTTTTCACCTCTCATGTCATTGTGAGAGACACATCTTAGGGTTTCCCTGCTGAGATCAACACAGTCAAACTGGGTTGACCTGAAGGATTAACCTCAATTAAAGATCAGTTAGATGGAGCATGCATGTCTACCTCACAGTGTCTGCACAAGCTGGACTGAGCTCGGTGGGGTGATGGGGGCTGTTGTGGGGTTGCTGGAGTCCATTCCTGCCCGATCCCTCACTAGCAGGAATCACCTGGCTCAGCTGGGACATGTGACCAGCAAAACTCTTTCTCCTGCTTCTCTTTCTCCTCTGAAAACATGCAATAGGTAAGCACAGGAGAAAAACTAGCCACAATTATGTTTGTGCCTCAGGGCACAAACAGCCCCTGTTTATCCCTACAGCTCCTAAGGAAGTGAGACTTGCCTGCAATCAGCAGGGAAAAGAACAAGCTGGAGGTCCAGTGGATGCTGAGGTTGGTGGCCACAGCCACCTTCCCAGGACATCCCTGCTGAGCGTGACTTTGCCCCTCCCCTCATCCCCTGACCCCGTGTCCGATGACAGACCCGTGTCCCCGCTGGCCTGTCATTAGTGCACTTTACCCCTGTTTATTACGATGCCCTGTGCTGCGTCAGCTTAATGATTTACTGCTTCATCTGCTCTTATCACCTCCCCGGGGAGCTGGTTCCTTCTTGGTTCGCAGCTAATGCACCAACCACCCAGGGAGGCAGCCGGGAGGATGGTGAGGAGCCCAGCGAGACTCTCCCCTCCTCCTCTCGCCCTACTCTGGCAGCCACAAAACCTCTTTTCAGCCAAACCCTGGGCCATTTTACTTTTCCAAGTGTCTCGTTTGTTTACTGAGATTTTTGGGGTTTTTTTAAAGGTTTTATTAGTGCATTGATAGTGTCTCAGTCAGGGCATCACTTCCATTTTCCCAGCTTGGAATTGCAGTCTGAAGTTCACCAGTGGAAACAGCTCGCAGCCATCACCACTACAATTAACTCTGCCCTTCACCCTCTGTAAATCAGGCAGTTCAGATACAACAGAGCTCGTTTGCTTGCTGCAGGACCTGCACTTGGCTCTGGGAGCAGCTGCGGGTGACAGAGACGGTCCCCAGGGAAAAGCTGACTCAGGGAAGAAGAGAAATGTCTTGGCTTGCAGAAAAAGAAACAACCGAGGCTGAGCTGGGGAATGCCACTGAGATGTGTATCTGGAAATAACAAAGCCATTTCCAGAGGGGGTTCAGGTCTCCCCTCATGCTGAATCTGCAGCTGCAGAAGCTCATCAAACCCAGCCCTTCAGACTGACAGCAGCTGAGGTGCTGTGGCCAAAAAACCATCCTCCATCAGGCTGGTTGCCCTGAATGTTCTCCGTGTGTAGCCCTGAATACAATGCAACCCACAGCCCAAATACTGGTACAGACACAGAGGTGAGAGATCTGTGCCTCTGAGGACAGAAAGACGACACCCAAAAGATGTCAGGAGAGACATCACTGACAAAGAAAAGCTCTCCTGTATCCTGCACCGCCTCACTCCACTACCAGCACTGTCTTATTTGTCTGCAGAGACATTTCTAATCATAGCAGCACTTCCATTAGCTCCCTCAGGAGCTGGATCCCTAATGCATTAATGTCAGGCTAAAACCCCATTCTGAACCATTTCATCCCATTATGGTCAGGTTTTTTCCTCTTTGCCTCACCCATGCTGGGGAGTGTTAACAGGGACACTGAGCAATCGTGTTCCTCATCCTGGCGAGCCCAGATGTGTCTGCAAAGCCAGGAAAGCAACTTTTCTGCCTCTAAAGGATCCTTAAGGGTTTTGGACTTAGGTTAAAAAATGATCATCATCATTGGAAACTAATAAACGCAATTGTCAGGGAGTATCTGAAGGACCATCAGGTGTTGCAGGAGCTTGTACGGTGACTGCAGAGAGACAGAGAAAATAGACTGAGATAATCCAACCCAATGAAATGGGAAAATTTGGTGGGGAAGTTCAAACTGGGATGAAAGCTTTAAACTCAGGATGCTGGACCTGAGGTCTGTTTAATAGACACATCTGAAAAGAGTCACTGGGGGAGAGAGACACGTAAAAACTGGTGATGGAGAGATTATACTGCTCTCTGTCTCCTCTTCTTTATGCTGCCTTTCTTTGCCTGTTTTATAAGCTCCTGTTTCAGGTTCTCCATCCCAATCTGTGCTCCAAGCCCTGTCATCAGGGAAGCAGCAAGAAGCAGCTCCAAGTTACAGCCCAGCAGAGAAAGCTCAGAAATAAAACAAAGCCAAAGCCATCTTAATTACGGGGGCTCAGAGCAGGCACTTCATCACCCTTTTCCTTCACTTTACGACCAGCACTTGTTTGTTTGTGGTTTTACGGCATTGAGGTTTGAATTTAAAAATTATCTGTTTGGGGAAATGCACGCTACCATCTTAAAAGCCATTTTTCTTCACCTCTGCGTAATGCTTAAGTGACTAAAGTGCTTTCTAAAGGGGGTGGGTGCCATCTGTGCCCCAAACTGCCCCCCCGGCTCTGAGATGTGCCATGATGGACTAGCCCTGACTCAAATAATTCCTATCACCTTACAGGTACCAACCCAAAATAAACTCAAAGCCACATTATCACCACCAAAAATGCCACAAAAATCAGGATTTATAGGATCCTAGAATTCCAGAATGGTTGGG